ACATCCATTATCATTACTACCAAAGTATAAGGCTAAATTTAAAGAGAAATAGAATCGAATAATCTACCTTCTTTTTTAGAACATCCATGGATGTTCATTACAACAAAGATGCAACTTTTAATTAATGATCATGTCATGTTCTTAAATTTACAACATTAATGACCTTCATAGTTCTGTCTCTCTCTCATTAATATTATACAATAAAAAAATTGATATTGTAAAATTCTTATTTCTGACATCAAAACAAACAACTCAAGCTTCTGATAAGGGGTTTTCTATCTTTAACAAGTGGACTAATAGCTAAAATTGAATATCTTTTAACTTCAACTCCAATAGACCATTCTCTAATGCCATGAAAGATCCCATTTTTCATCTGCCCCTCCTTTTCAATTTTTGGCCACTACCTATTGTAAAAAATATGATTTAACAATTGCACTTATCAAAGTAAAATATTGAATCATAAACATGTAGTAGGTTATATCTCTTTTCCTACCTATCTTCCATTTGCAAAAGGAGGCTTTTACCTTGCTATGTTCTGAATTTTAATTTTAATTTTAATTTTTTTTTTGGTCTTTGCTTAGCAAGTTCAACATTCATAGGTAGTCTTATGCATAATAGAAACTACAAGTCATTCTTTCCAAATGTGGTGGTGACGTGGTAGTGCTAGAAGTCTCGCTTGATTGATTTTCTACTAAATTGCGATCACATGCCAAAAAATATATCAACCACTCATAGTAAGTTATGAACGCATAAGTCTCCTTACATAATATCAGTTATAAAAAAACATATTTCACCATTAGAAATTATAATCTATCCCCCTTTCTACACACTTTATTTTATGAGATACGTGAACTTTGGTGCACCATTTTCACGCAAACGAGAAAGTTATGTGCACTGAACTTTCCTCAAGCAATTTTTGTCTTGAAGGTTTGACTCTATAAGTGCTTGAATAGCGTTTATTTTTTCACCAAGTGTAAATCAATGTTGATGATCAAGNGCAGTGAGTCATATACTGGGAGGCCTGCTGGAGTAGACTAAATCTTTGAGACCCTGTCCCAGGCCGAGATTGACAATCATGTTCATCCACCCTACTGCTCAATTCTCCCTTGAGGAGGGTCATACTCCCTTGTCCTTAGGTGGGGATACCTTTTAGTCTAGTGGGCCAGTCGAGAAATGATTGAGGATACCATTTCCGCATTAGGGGATGCGAATCTCGTTGAGGTTGCCCCTACACTTCTGCGATACCATTCCCATAAAAAGGCGTAGCACCAAGGGGCATTACGCCTAAGTTGTCGCGCCCAGGGGCGTCACGCCGAGGTTGCCCCATACTTCTGTGATTCCACTTCTGTCCAACTTTGGTGAAAGATTCATTTTGCCACTTCCAATGTGATGGAGATATATCTCACCCTGATGCGGTATTGTGCATGCGGGTGTCACGCCAAGGGACGTTGCGCCTAGGGGTGTCACGCTTGTCACTGTTATATCAGTCCATCTGAACTCTGTCGGGTATCATTTCCATATCAACTGATAATTGTTGCCACTTGTCCTGTTATGGTAAAGTGTCTTTAAGTTTTCTGAGTACTACACTATCTAATCCAAACTCATCTATCATGGAACTAGTTAAGATTCAAGACTATATTCTATCATTAATTAGTTATTAGATTTAATTTATTATTTAAATTAGTTGTCTTGTTGGATAAGACATCTTGGTCTTCTTGAAGTATGTCGGCAAAGCTTTGCTTTGACAAAATAAATTTGTTGGAAAAAAATCAAATTTGTGAATGGGAAAGTAAAATTGATGACCCTAGAATTTGTTTTTCAATAAATATGAATCTCTTGAATTTCTGATAAAATCCCCCTACACTAATTTCACACGAGTCACCACCACTTGATATTCTCATATGAATCCATAGGAACATCCATTATCATTACTACCAAAGTATAAGGCTAAATTTAAAGAGAAATAGAATCGAATAATCTACCTTCTTTTTTAGAACATCCATGGATGTTCATTACAACAAAGATGCAACTTTTAATTAATGATCATGTCATGTTCTTAAATTTACAACATTAATGACCTTCATAGTTCTGTCTCTCTCTCATTAATATTATACAATAAAAAAATTGATATTGTAAAATTCTTATTTCTGACATCAAAACAAACAACTCAAGCTTCTGATAAGGGGTTTTCTATCTTTAACAAGTGGACTAATAGCTAAAATTGAATATCTTTTAACTTCAACTCCAATAGACCATTCTCTAATGCCATGAAAGATCCCATTTTTCATCTGCCCCTCCTTTTCAATTTTTGGCCACTACCTATTGTAAAAAATATGATTTAACAATTGCACTTATCAAAGTAAAATATTGAATCATAAACATGTAGTAGGTTATATCTCTTTTCCTACCTATCTTCCATTTGCAAAAGGAGGCTTTTACCTTGCTATGTTCTGAATTTTAATTTTAATTTTAATTTTTTTTTTGGTCTTTGCTTAGCAAGTTCAACATTCATAGGTAGTCTTATGCATAATAGAAACTACAAGTCATTCTTTCCAAATGTGGTGGTGACGTGGTAGTGCTAGAAGTCTCGCTTGATTGATTTTCTACTAAATTGCGATCACATGCCAAAAAATATATCAACCACTCATAGTAAGTTATGAACGCATAAGTCTCCTTACATAATATCAGTTATAAAAAAACATATTTCACCATTAGAAATTATAATCTATCCCCCTTTCTACACACTTTATTTTATGAGATATGTGAACTTTGGTGCACCATTTTCACGCAAACGAGAAAGTTATCTGCACTGAACTTTCCTCAAGCAATTTTTGTCTTGAAGGTTTGATTCTATAGGTGCTTGAATAGCGTTTATTTTTTCACCAAGTGTAAATCAATGTTGATGATCAAGACGGATATTTATGAGAAGTTTTTGAGGAATTAAGTCGTTGCATATAAAGCTTGAAACACTCGAAATACATATTGAATATTTGCTTCAAGTTACACAAAAGTCAAACTACTAATTTGATTTCGGGATCTTGTGAATCTGTAATTTAGATAAACACACTTTTAAACTTTCTATTCCAATCGGTTCATCATTTAAATTTTGAAGTTGAATATTATGATTTTTAGGTTTCCATCGATGTGACTGTGCTCTACACAAAACTGAAATATATGGAAAATTGGACGTGCTAAATTAGATGAGCATGAAATAACTAATTTTGTGCTACTTAAGCCTCTTACTTTTGCACTATGTAATTTCCTAAAAATGAATCTTTTTTTTTTTTTTTTTGGAAACTCATTCATTTTTAATAGTTGAGCAAAAATTATCACAAGGCAAAAGGAAACATTTTCACTCAAATGACATACCTACAATCAACCCTAACGAATGTTTCCTAAATTTTTTTAGTGGTAGTGGTTTCCTCCTACTTTGAAAAGAAACAGAAAAACACATGGATGTTGACTGAAGCCATTATTGTGCACGTGGTTTGTCATTACTTTCCCAATCAAGCTAATTTTCATTGTTAAACAGTTAGCCAAGAGAAAGACAAAGCAGTGATACTAAATTCCTTTCTGAATCAAGCTAATTTCCATTACTGGTCAACATACTATTCTTCAACCCTACAAGTAATTGCAATGCAATGTAACAATGATGTCTACAAGTCAAAAACTAAAGGTTTGAAAATAATGGAAATGATGAGAACCTAAAGTGTATCAACATTAGTTCATACCTCTTTGAAAACGCGTTGGACAGTGCTGTTAAATGTCGCCTTTTCAGAACCGTTCCAACCACCCTATAAGCTGATATGTAGCTTTGGTGTAATTAGGAGCCCTGAAGAGAAGGTCTGCATCTTGGGACAATTTTCCAATCTCACGTCTGTTAAGGATGGCCATTCCAAAGTCTGATTTCCCAAGTAGAAATTCTTGAGGTTTGGTAGATGTACAAATTGAAGAGTTTGAACATTAAGGAACATCAGTTTTTCTCCAGAATCTTCTCCGTGTTCTAGGATCACTTCCACTAAATCACATTCACTTACAATGAGTTTTCTGAAATTGTGTAGCTTCGGGAGTAATTAGAAACTTTAGTTGATTAAAGCAATCTACTGGATGTTCGTTTTTCCATTTCTTTTTCAGGTTATCTAGTCTCTCAAGATTCAAATCCTCGAGGTCATGCAATACAACCTGCCAATTTACATTATATTAACACATGAATGTTCATAATTACACAAATACTATAAACTTCTAGGAGAGAAAAGGAACTAGAAATTTAGTTATGCTTGATTAATATATAGAATAAGAAAAATCATCAATAGTAATAAAAAACTTTGCCACCTTGAACAATTCATACTTTCTTCACCTGTCATGTGGGCATTTTCACAGTCATGTGTTGGACTTGAGAAGCATGGAAGTAAAACAAAACAATGACCCAAACAAAAGAAATAATAAATAGATAACTAGATATACTAACAAAACAATTGCCGTAACTTTTTGTTTGCAAAAGTCAGTCTCAATTTCTATAAAAAAAAAAAATGAAAAAGATTATCTGGCTACGAGTTTGGGTCCAATCAGGTTCAAGTCAATTTCTCATTACTTTAATTTGAATACACTGCAAGTAAGAAAGTGAAATGAGTATTTTTCACAAACAGGTGGTGAGCAAAGTAGAGACGAACTAGGGACACAAGTAGTATTGGTTACATGTCACATTTGCTATCCTGAAAATTGATCATCCTATGGAACTGATAAATCAACATAGATATGTGATAATTTTTCTCCCACGTTTTCCCTTTGTATACATAAATAGTTTTGAGAGAGAGAGAGAAAGAGAGCACGTACCTTTTCATTGAAAAATGGTTGTGTGGTGATGCTAGAGTTGCCTTCTTGATCTATTTGTCCCTCCAACCCTTCTTCACTTGCTTCTTTTGGCCTTTTTGTGCTTGAACCAACAAATGTTCGTATCTTGGGACATTTTTTAATCACCAAAGTTCTCAAAGAGTGGAACTCTAAAGTACAATTCCCTTGGTAGAAGCTTGTGAGTTCTGGCAATTGAGAGAGGTGAAGCTCAAATAATTTCTTATCTCTTTCATCATGTCGCATTCTACTAACTCAAGATATTGAAGTTGAATAAGAAGTTTCGATGGGGTAAAAGAGAGAAGATATCTCCGACATTTGCATCCCCCAATAGTAAGATGTGTGAGATTTCGAAAGTTAAGAGATTCAGGGCAGACCTTGCTCCACCATATATCCTTCAAGCTTGGTAAACTCAACAATTTAAAATTCTTTATCCTTGGTAGTGTTACTAAAGTTGCATTATGTCCTTCACATAGGTCCTTCAACAAATCACAATTTGAAATAGATAAATCTACCAAATTCTGTAACAATTGTACCAAACTGGATGGAAAAATTGTGATTAGCTTTCCACAGCTGCTTATTGACAGTTCAGTCAATGTGTTGAAGTTCCCGGTAGGAAGCAATAGTTCGTGCCATATCTTTTCCATTTTATGCAGTCCACAGATATAACAGCTCTCCAATGCTGGAAATACAACTTGCGAAATTACATTATTCATCAATCTTATTAAAAAAAAAAAACTTGTCAATTGTCTTGTTAGCATTTTTACAGTTATCGGGCGGGCTTGAGGAACAAGAACATACAACCACCAAGTGACCCAAGCAAAGGAAATAAGAAATAAAGAAATAGACATTACTAATAAAAAAAATTTGCCCACATGAGTTGTGAGAAATGAAGAAAAATATTGTTGACTTCAATTCTATAAAAACGCTTTTTAGTAACACATTTCATGGTCACATACCTTTCCATCGAACAGAGGTTCATGTGCTCGGATATGAGGACTGCTTTCTGAAGCCGAACTATTTGTTTGGCAAAAAAAAAACTCACTAGGTTTGGTAGATTTTCAAGGCACAAGTCTTTCAACTTGTGTAAGACAATTTCATCCTCTTCCGCCGCTGCTCCTTCCACATTGATTGCAAGTATCGCTTCCATATTGTCGGAGTTGTATACCTCTAGGCTTTGGAACTGCCCAAGATCTCCTGCTATATATTGCTGAAACTGAAAGAGGCATTCCATTTTGTCACACTTTGATACATCTACACTCCTTAGTCTAGAAAGCCGTGCTTGGCCAGTGAATTTACTAACTCAGGTAAGTTGTATAGTTTCAACTCACGCAGTTCACAAAAAGATGTAGATGGGAGATGGCGATGGCATATCTGTCTCATGTCTTGCATGTTTTTGAGCTCTAATATCTCCACCGCAGGAAAAACACAACGTGGCATCCTCTCCTTGGTGTCAACTAGATATTTAATCTTACCACGATAACTATTAACTGTCAAAGCCTTCAGATTTGAAAATCTATCTATTCTAAAATCATTGAGAACAGTCTCCGCATCCTCCAATTTCGGTTGGTTCAATGTTTCTGCTGTTTTTAACAACATATTGACCCCACTGTCTTCTTGACCTCATGAGTTCCAAGACCCTTGACCCTACACGTGACGAACGCAAATATTTGGAGGGGCCTATATTAATGTGATATTCAATCAACTGATTCCCAAACACTAAACTTTTAGGATACATCTCCAAATCTGGTACTTCAATTTCTAAGGTTCTTAAATCAGAAAGATGTTTCAACTTGATAAGACTTGCATTATTTTTTCCCATCTTGACCATCAACACTCCAGTCCTTGAAACTCTCTCTCATGTACAAGCATTTCGATCGTGTCAAACTTGCTATAACACCAACTGGAATTACATTTAAATACCTACACCTTGACAAATCTAATAACCTTAAACGAATGAGCTGTTGCACCTACAGTGGTAATTCTGTAATATAAGAGTAAGCAAAGCTGAGAATTTCATTGTCCTTTAACTCTCAAATAACTGAGATGTCTGATATCTTACAGCTCACCAAGAATAACGTTCGAAATTTTTGTAAACATCTGACAGATGGTGGCACTGCAAGAATAGACATATAAGACATGCTTAGAACTCTCAAGTTTTTCATCTCCTCGGAAAAAGCACCTGATTGAACGATTACCATTATTGCTCAACAATAATATTTCTAGTTTTGGACAATCGCATGCATCAGAGAATTCTTGAATAAGATTGTCAAGTAGCGAGATTACGGTATAACGATTGAGTGTCTCGTCTCTGGGCCATTCTATCAACTTGGAACCAGCTCTTACCAAAAAAACATGCTCACCACTAGATGCCTCCCATATAGCAAAATGTCTGACAACATCATGCATCCTAATACGGCCCCATCTATTTTCATCATTCAATAACAAACAACGTGCTTTAAGGTTATCAACCATCGACTTTACCCTACCTCCTGCATCTATAATATTAATCCTATGTCCAAACAACCTTAAGCCCATTCCATATCTCATCAAAACTTCAATAGGGATGTCAGAATCTTCTGGAAATAGGCAACACAATAAGAAAAAATACTTGAGTTCTGCACTTTCCAAAAAATTATAACTCAACTCTAGCGCCGAATAAACTTTTTCATGCATGCCTGGGATGGTTCTTGGCTCAGAATTCTTTAATTGGAGTAGTGCGTCTTTCCACACATCATAATCCTTATCCTCCAAAGTTGCTGCAACAGTAACAATTGCAATTGGCAAGCCTGCGCACTCTTTAGCTATATCGATAGCTATTGGATGCACATCTCGCAACTCAACATTACCTGCGGTTTTGTTGAATAAAGTCCATGCCTCTCGAGATGTCAAAACAATTTTGCAACCTTCATGAGCATTGCCGTGCGGAATTCCTACAGCCACGAAATCAAGTCCTTCCCACAAATCATCCAAGATTATAAGTATTTTCCCCACTTTCTTTATTCTCTCGCATAAGCAAACCGCCCTACCCAAATAACTTTTAATATCATATTCTAATTTCAATTTATCTGCAATTTGCTTTTGAATTTTCTTGGTTTTTGGCGTTTGGGAAACCACTGCCATCACTACCTCATCAAAGAGGTGATGTTTCTCAGCAAACTTTGCAACTTCTGTGATGAGGGTGGTCTTCCCAACGCCTCCCATCCCAAAAACTCCCATGACGTTGATCTGATCATCATTCAGCGCTTCAATGATCTCATCAAAAGTTTTTTTTTCTAGACTCAAAAAATTCCATCTCGCTCGTAAATATGGATTCATATGTTGGTGGGGGCGCAGGGAGAGAAACACAGTCGAAGATGTTGGCTTTGCGTACGAGCTGATCAACAGCCGAACTCTTCTGCTTGGACATCTTGCTTACTTGGTGGCGTGCCTTCAAATCAGGGCACAACCCAATAAAGCACTTGTTGTTTCTCACAGCTTCATCATCATGTAAAATCTGGTAGGACTCTTGGGTGATTGTGTCCGCATGTGTCTGAAATTCTGGTAGGATGACTCGAGGATTCCTAGCGTCCACATCGACTCTTCCTGAGATTCCCTTTCGAGCATCATTCAGGTCCTTATCAACTTGAATTTTCAGATCGTTGATGTTGTGATGGTAATAAATTATATACCCAAATTGACGCCCAATTGGTATGACTGTGTACTCTCCAATTGTAGTAACAACAGAACCCAAAAAACCCACAGCGGCATCCATCCTTTTATGCCTTTCGCTTTTTTTTCCCCCTCCACTGAAGAAACAGGCCCAAAGAAATATAATGAAAACCAGAAGGATTGATTATATAACAAAAGATATTAGAAGAAATTAAAGGAAGGAGCCTGCAGAACGTACCTCTTATGGAATAATATGCATAAAAGAGAGAAGCGGAGATTGAAATATCAGTATCTCCAGATGGAATTGAGATTACGCTCCTACGCCCACATTAAGGCACAAAAAATTAGAAGAACAGCAGAGGAACATTAGTCAAATAGTTCTCATGTGTACTGGGTGTCCGCTTTATACCACATCGATGATTGGACTGGTCATAAAATATTGGTTCGGATCCTCTTAGTATCAAATTTAGTTCATATTAATCTTCCAATCCCCGAATGTTTCTTTTTTTCCTTTTCGGTACCTATTATTCTCAAGAAAAAAAAAGATGAATTAAATATTCTCAATTATAGCATCATGGAAAGAATACTTGGTAAAGCAAAAATTGAAAATTAAATCATCTCTTAAGAGTTGTATTTTTCCCCACCGCTTGGATAATGTATTTTAATTTTATTTCAATAGAAGATTACAAAAGTATTCGGTCTCGTTTGAATCACAATCATTCTTTTAGAAACTAAATCCGATATTTTTAATATTGGATGCTTTACTAAAAGAATAGTAGTTTTTTTTTTATAAGAATAGTAGTTGGGTGTTGGATTAATGTGCAAAATGAAAAGTAAATCCTTCAATAATTCTCCTACTATTGAAAAGTTTGTCCGCCACGACCCCAACATTACCCAGGATCCGAATCACGTGCTATCTATCATCATAAATTTTGATGTTCTCCGGTCTCCACAAATAATATTTCTGATAAATTGTTATATTAAAAAACCTGATAAAAAATACTAACTGCATTTGAAGTATGTACTTAATCTCACTTTAGTCCGTCAATTTTTAGTTGTGTTAGTTTAATACTTAAGGTTGTAAAATTGTTTTTTTTTCTTTTTTTTTTTTGGACAAGCATCCAAAAATATTTTTTAAAGTCGCCCAATTGTTAAAATTTTGTCCAATAAATCAACGAAAATTGACATGTGCTAGTTATCATTAAAAAAATATTATTTGTCCACTAATTGTTTAAATGAAAAATAGTATAAATTGAAGATTTAGATGATTAAAATGTTTTAGTTAGAAATTGAGAGACCAAAGGAGATTGAGCTCGAATTTTTTCGTCTACTATTCTATTTCACAAAGGAAAAATTTATAGGATCCTTTTATCTTAATTTCAACTTCTTTTTTTTTTCAGTTTTGATTTGATCCATGCGATTCATCTATTTAAATTTATTACACCTTAGTAGTGAGTTTAAGCGATGCATGCTGCTCTCTCTAGCGAGCTGATCGTGCTTGAGTGAGACCAAAGACCCTTGAGCGATTAACATAAAAAAAATTTCAAGGAGAGAACTAATGAGAAAGAACACATTTGTGAGGGCTTGAAAGCAAAACTCTAATTCTCAATAAACAAAAAGAGACCCAAACAGATTTAATGTAAAATAAAGAGACTATATAACAACAAATAACATTCCCAGCAGAAATTGAAGGAAAGAGTGCAAAATATAACTCTGAAAAGAAGATGAGATTGAAATACTAATATCTCCGAATGGAACTGAGAATAAGGATTTTTGCTGGTGAATTGCAATCGAGAATCAGAATGAAAGACAGAAAAATAATCTTTGAGACAAGCACAAGTCGGTAGTGGAAACAGTGAGAGGAGGGTGAGAGCACTGAGAGGTAGGAAAAGTTTAAGAGCAATGCTATTGGTCCCAAAGATCAATTATTCAAAGTTTGAGTAACATGGGCCCAAGGTCAGTGTGAAACCACGTAGAATTTTCTAAGATGCTGAGCGGCTTTTTTGATCTCTGGGAAGACTTGTACTCAGCCTCACAAGTCAAGGTCAGTACAACTGCGTCCAAAGATGCTAGCGGAGCCTAGAAGAAAAGGAGAGGACTCAGAGGAGCATGGGCGCTAGTATTAGTTCCCATCCGGATTGCACATCACATGTATGATAGTCTGAATCATTTGGACTGTGGTCCATAAATTACGGTGCTCTTCATCAATATGTCACTTGGATCATTGTTCCATTTCGGTTCATTCATATTAATCTTTCGCTACTAAATTTACACCCCAAAATATTATCACAAAAAAAAAAAAGTAGATGACAAAGACAGTGATAAAAAGAGAAAAGAAATATAGTCATCTAGTTGGCCACCCTTGATACTTCCAAATAGGATATTAGGGAGCCTGGTACAAGCCAAACTCCTTCGATTCGTCAACAAACTGTTGAAAGTAGGGATTTATCTCTTCTATATCTTTCATTGAAAGTTGTAATATTGTAACGCTCTAAAATCCACTTTGGACGACATTACTATCTAAAATCATTCACATTATAAGAACAACTAAAATAATCCACAAGTAAAGAAGATTTTATTCAT